GGTTTCTGGGCTGACACCTGTAGTCATCCAGTCTGTGTTCCCCTGTAGACAATTCAGGGATTTTGCTTGTTTGTTTTTTTCTCCCTCTGTTTTCTGCTGCTATTTGGCAATATCATATGGGTGTGGGTTTTATGGATTTATTCCATTTGGAGCTGGTTCAGCTTCTTGACTGTGAGTTTACAACTTTAAACAAAGTTTAAATAATTTTGAGGGCCCACACCTTTGGTATTTGGGATCCCAGAGACATAACTAGGGGGCCCTTTATAGTTTGTTCCACAGCTCTTCAGATTTCTTTTTGTTGGTTTTACGAGACAGGGTTTCTCTGTATTGTTTTGGAGGTTGTCAGTCCAGCCTGGCCTCTAACTCACAGAGATCCGCCTGCCTCTGCCTCTGGAGTGCTGGGATTAAAGGCATGTGCCACCACCACCTGGCCAGCTCTTCAGATTTTAACACTACAATGAGTCTGTGCATTCGCTGACTCTTTCCCGTCATCTGCTCTCAGCTTTTGTATCCATCCCCTGAACTTCTTGATTTGTGGAACACTATTTTCTGTTTAGAAATTTCCACTTTGCTTTTCTTTGCATTTTCTATTTCTTTGCTGAGGTTTTTCTATTTTTAGTATTTATTTCAAGAATGTTCATTATACATAAATACATAATACATTTTAGTATTTTAGAATAACTGCTTCAAGGCCTCTGGAAAATGACTCATGCCTGGTATGGTGGCGCACGCCTTTAATCCCAGCACTTCAGAGGCAGAGGCAGGCGGATCTCTGTGAGTTCGAGGCCGGGCTGGTCCAACAGCCTCCAAAACAATACAGAGAAACCCTGTCTCGTAAAACCAAAAAAAAAAAAAAAAAACTGGAAAAAAAGAAGATGATGACTCATGTATTTATGCCCATTTTTGTCATTACTGGTACTTTTTCTAAGTGATTCAAGATTTTCTAGGACTTTTTTTTTTTTGTCTCCTGAATAAGAATGGATTGTGCCCTGGGTATTCTGATCATAACACTTATTTAAATATTAGAGATAGCAATGATCTCCTCTCCCTTCTCTCCCTCTCTTGTGTTCCCTTTCCTTCCCCCTCCCTCCTTGTGACCCCTTCAACTTTAAACTGGTCAGGTGCAGGATGCAAGGCTCCATCTGCCTTCTGCGCACTGTCATCCTAGTGTCAGCTTAGAGACCAAGTGTGATGCTGTGCTCTTCATGCTTTCTGTGAAGTTCAGCACTTGTAATCAGCTGAGGCCTGATTTTAATTCTCAATGTCTGTAGTAGGAGAACGTCAAAGCAGGCATCACCTATGGTGAGCCTCGGAGTCCATGACATAAGACTCCATGAGGCTGACATCTGCAGTTTCTCCCTGTGCTTCTGGCTAGAAACCTGGGCCTCTAGTCATCCCAATCAGCCACACTTAGCTGTGATTGGCTTAAATGGCAAGATAGGAGAGAGGGGTGGAGGGAGACAGAAAAAGACAGGGAGAAAGTAAGGTGAGACTTATTCTGAGAATTACATTTCCTTTCCAGTGACTTGGGCCAGAACTACATGGATGCTCTCAGAGCTGCGTCTGCACAGTAAGTACTTGTGGGTTCCGGCTGACACAGGTCAGGGGACACAGGAGGGAAACACTGAGTGCCGCGGCAGCTCCAGTGCTCCTTCCTGATGCACGTGTCACAAATGTCTTTTGCATGCATGCTGGCCATGTTCTGCAGCGTTGTTCAGTGGGAAGACAGGGTGTTGTTTAAAAGTCTAACCTCAATATAGCTATGTAATCATTTAGTTAGAACTTGCCTGGAATACACTTTCCAGTCAAGCCCTTTGACACCATAGCCCAATGACATAACTTCCTTCGACCAGGCCCTGCCTTCTAGCATTTCTGTCATTTCATAGTAGTGCTACAGGCTGGTGGCTAGGGCTTCAACTTCTGAGATTCTGGGGGACAGTGCAGATCCTCATGAGGACCATCTGTAACATTAAGGGGCTCAATGGAAGGCTGTTATGCTTATGATGCAGATACCTGACATACATCTTACTTAACTGTTATAACTAATCTTACAATGATAAAATATTTAACTAGACCAGAGTCAGTGATGACGTGAAGATTTGGTTCCCCTCAACTCTGATGCTGGACCTTCCTCACATTAACGTACTGCTGCCTCTCTGTTAAGGAGGTGCCACTGGGTGCTCTTTGGGAGACACTCTGTAGTCTATCCAGGAGGTGGCATGTATTAAGTCCTCTAGGGAGCAAGGAGAGGGCCTATTTTCATAGTGATTGGCAGGGATCTCCAGCACAATGGGGTACATGTAGCTATCCTAAAACAGACAGCCAAAAAAGAAAAAAAAATCGCAAGGCATCTGTGAGTTATTCAAACCAACAATTTTAGGATTGTATGTATTTGCCTTGATTCCAAATTCCACATTGAACAACTAACTCTGAACTAAGACTACAGAAATCCAACAACTGAGTTTCACATTACATCAAAGCTTATATGTAAGTTTAGGATTAAGCACAAATGTTGAGCAAGGTGACTTTGGGGTGAGTTTTACATATGGCAAAGTTTACTGGGATAATCATGAACCTGGCTCCTGGTTCTGGGAATCTAGAAGCTTGAGTCTAGGCTATCAGTTGCTCTCCCCACTTCCAGCCTAATAATGATAGTCAATGCAATAGGGAATACAATATATTTATTCACCAGAGAGAGAGAGAGAATCACACAAGCTGGGAATCAGAAGCATGGCCGGCTTCCAAAAAAGAGAGGGTCCTTTTTTCCTTTTGCTTCCTTTTATCTCTACCTGTGCTAATTTACTTGTCCCCGCCCTCATGGGCGGATAACTTTGTGGGGCTCACTCCTACACCAGCCTTTCCTGGCATTTGGTCTCTTCAAGCATCCTTTAATCAACTTGCCTCTGTGTGGTTTCCCATTCCTTATTATGTTTTCTTTCTTTTCCTTTTTTTCTTTTCTTTCTGAGACAGGGTTTCTATTTGCAGCCCAGGCTGTCCTGGAGCTCACTCTGTAGACCAGGATGGCCTTCAACTCACCAATATCTACCTGCCTCTGCTTCCTGAGTGCTCAGATTAAAGGAGCGTAGCACCGCCACCTGGCTTTACTATGTTTTCTTAATTCTTCACCCATAGCCTTCAAATTGTACCTCCTAGTTGATACGGTTTCAATTTGAAATGTCCTCCCCAGGCTCGCAGCTCGAATGCCTGACTCCTAGCTTATGGTGCTATTTCAGAGGCTGTGGGGCCTTTAGGAGGCAGGATGTGCCTGCTTGAAGTAGATTACTTGGGGTGGAAGGTCATATCCACATCTGGCTCTTGTTGGGTTTTTGCTTCCTGGCTCATGCCAAGTGAACAGCCCACTGCCTCTTGCTCCGGCTGCCATAGACTGCTGTATGTACCTTCTACAGTGCACTGAAATCACGAGTCACAATAACTGTTTCCTCCTTTCAGGTGTTCCTGCCAGGCATTTGTCACTGTGAGGGACCCGCTGTCTCAGCTCTCTTGTTCCCATCTCTCATCCAGCACCCTCATTCTCACCCTAAGCTGCTGCTGCTGCCTCTCATCCTCCCTGATCTCTCCTGCTCCCACTCCTGAAGCACAGTACAGATACTCCTTTTTTTCACCAACATAAATGCTGTAGGTGTCTTTAAATTTACCTTTTGTTCTCCCAGTGAACATCTGTCCATTCTGTGAAGAGTGGGCTTCTAAGCTTGCCTCTAAGGTGCCCTTTCCCTCACAGTGATCCAAGAGACATTATCATTTTTATTACACATCTATCCCAGTTGAGGCTCCTTGTTAGGGGGAGCTCTCATTCTGGTTATAACAAAGAAAGGGATATTTATCTAGAGGAAAAACTTAATTATAATTGTGAGTCTCTTAACTGAAGCAATCATAAATTATGTTGCACAATTGTTCTTAAATAAAACAATTTTAATATTTGAGTATATGAATTGCCTTGCTTCATGCTGTGAAAACAGCCTAAGATAACAGCCTTCATTTCATGGTTTTTTTTTTAATCGTCTCCATTAGAGACCTGGTTTACTTTCACCTCAGAGCTCATCTTTTCTTAGTCATTTCTTTGTCTCTTTTCACCTCCCTGTTTTCCAGTCAGCCACTCATGCAGGTGGGAGGTCTGAGACTCAGCAGTTCTGCTAGCCTCATGGCCCAGCCTTCCCATACTCCGGAGAGCTGGGGGTGACAGAGGGTGATGTCAGAAAAAGAACACACTCTGAAGACTAAGACCTGATGAAGCAGGGACCTACAGGAGATGGCTGCAATTCTTACCTGTTGGAATTTCTAGTGAGCTGTAGTTTCACCAGCCCCTGCTAGTTAGTACTGACTACACATATTCAAGAGAGGAGGGAGAAATGCATCCATGAAAAAGTTACTTGGTAGTGTGTCTTTAGAAATTTGGAGGGTTAGGCAAAATGAAGAGAACTGGCAAAATCTGTGGCATAGTCTACCCTGCTGTGGCCTTTTCTTTAACAACGCAACCACAGTTGGCTGCAAAACTCCGTATCTCACCGACCAAAAGTGGACAAATATGCCTTCTTTTTTTTGGGAGGGGGGCAGGTTTTGAGACAGGGTTTTTGTGGCTTTAGAGGCTGTCCTGGAACTAGCTCTTGTAGACCATGCTGGTCTTGAACTCACAGAGATCCTCCTGCCTCTGCCTCCCGTGTGCTGGGATTAAAGGCGTGCGCCACCACCACCTGGCTTAGACAAAGACTTCTACTTCATCAACCTGTGTCCCATAGGACAGATCACTGCTGCTTTTGCATTCCAAGGCCTTTTAAGACGCCATAAAAATAGTTTTGCCCTCAAAGCCAATGCGCTTTGACTTAATCTTAATTGGTTTGTACTCCAGGAAACAAGAAATATCTTTTGGCCAGTGATCATATATATTTGAACTGGGACACAAGAGGAAGGGAAACGTTTGTTTTTACAGGAGTAAACTGTTGAAGTAGTGAAAGTGGCTATGCTCTGAGCAGTCCACTACTTACCCAGAACATAGATCTCACTGTTGACGACAGCTGCACTGAATCGGTACTTAGAGTACTGCATGGGTGCCCGCTCCCTCCATCGATCTTGGCTGGGGTCATACTGCAACAGTTTGTTGCTCAATCGATCGGGCTCTTCATCAGGAAGATCCATCTATATGAAATATGGCAGCAAATGTAACAACAGACCACTTAGAGGCCTTTGTGAGCATGTGGACACAATTAATCAAGCAGACAGCAGAGGAGATGAATGGGGGTTAACTGTCTCACTCACACTCACAGATTTGCTAAGTCCTGAGACTTAGGGTTGTCAGTACTGTGTCAACATCAGAGGGATTTATAGGTGACTTGCTGGTTTACAGCAATCAGTCATTTTCACATTTAGACAGCAAAAAATAAAGCAACTACAAAGTCTTAAAAAAAAAGCAAAGCATGTGCTCTTGAACAATGAGCAAAGAAAACCATAACCTTACAAACTTCATAGTTGTGAATTTTAACAATATTCATAGAGAACTAGATTTAATAATTCATAAGGCATTTTCTTTATATTTTTCTAACTTATAAAAAATTTCAAAACATTTTCACAAGAAGAGAATTTTAGATCACAATTATGAGCTATATGTAAATAACCTGATTTCAATTTTCAAGATATAAGATTAGCATAAATTACTTGGAGTTATGTTTACTATTCGCTTATATATTTGTATATATTTTAATGATTAGATAATAAAAATTGAATAATTTTATTCTTACAGAGACACAAGCAGCTTCTATCCATAAACTTAGGGTAAAGTAATGTTATTTTAATTTATGATATCTGGAACTTTATAACAAATTTGAGCTAAGAATTGATATCATTTTTGGGTACAAGTTTTCAACAAAGAAATAATTGTGCCCTTAGGAATGTTCCATGCACTTCACTTTAGTCTAGGCCTTTAAAAAAAGACAGGAATAATGATACCATGGGCATTCAAGGCCCAGTTTCATGTGCTCCATCAGAAGCTCAGTGAGATTGCCTCATTATACAATACTCATTCAGAAACTCCAAATTAGCAAATAATTTCCTTACTGCTTACTTTCCTTCTATTTTAGGTATTTACTCTCCATGTTAGCAAAGCAAAGCATCCTATTGTTTTGAGGTCTTGTTCATGCAAATTCACTGTGAAGGTGGATAGTTTTGAAAAATGTAACTACAGATAATGTCAGGTTCTAGCTATTCACTGTGATAAAATATGCACTATTCTTGATCTACAGCATGAATAGAGACATTATAAAGTATAAGAATAAAGTTTTCCAAACTCATAAAGAGAATGCAAAAACATGAGTTTTATCATGGGGCAAATGTAGTAAGAGAAAATACAGGAAAAATAAATTTATATCACAGGGATAGCCAAGGAGTGAAGATAATATGTATTGGAAAAACAGGAAAGTAAGAACAGAGGACAGTTGAAAAGACCCAGGAGGACCCGCAAAAGTACACAGGCCCACTGTGGTCACACTGCTGACCTCTGCATTGGCTTGCCATCACTTCTCTGGGCTTCAATATCAACAGCAATCTGTTGATATTGCTGATGCCCAGCAAGGACACTTGGTGTTTACAGTCATAACATACTTTCTTGGGAATGATGGTGCCACTACAGAATCAAAATTCTGGTTTTCCATTTATGGTAAGAGGCCAGGTGGTCTTCAGGAGGGTTTATCTTACATTTTTGAGACAAGGTAGCTTGCCAAATCTGGAGTTTGCCAATTTGCCTAGACTGGGTAGCTAGCATGCCCCAGGGGTCCTCCTGTCTCTATCTCCTCAGTGCTGGGATTACAGGCATTTACATGGGTGCTAAGGATCAGGTTCTCATGCTTTCACAATAACCATCTTCCCAACTGAGTCATTTCCCCAGACCCTGCAGCAAGAAAGACTTAGGAATGCCTGGCCACTGGTCACACCGCCATCAGACAGCAGGACTGGAATGAGGATTCAACTGTTGCACTTACTTAGATGCTCACTACAGCTACCCCTTGACACAGGGCTCTTTTCCAATCAGCCAGTTGGGTAACAATTATGAAGTCCATAGCATAGCATGAACACTAAATGCACCCCTGTCTATAAATAACACATTTAAAAATCAATTTTCTAAAACTGCTTTGACACTTTCAAAACTTAAGTTTATATTATATGGTGTAAAAAGCATTTTGCCAAAATGTAAGCCATCATCTTTTAGTACTCAAGAGCTGCTACATTTTTTCAGCAAAGCCAGCCATGCCAGGTAGGTATGCAAGGAATTTCTTAACCTGAGGGGTCCATCCACCGATGACATACAGTTTATTGTTCACTGTCACCACAGCATGACAAGCCAACTGCAGTGGAAGGGGAGACACTCGTTTCCATTTGTCTTGATCTAAGGAGTACTTATCAACACAGTTTGTAATGAGGTACTGGTTTTTAATTTTCATCTGTCCTCCTATAACATAGAGGTCGTTTTGAACGCTGCCTAGAGCATAGAGCTCTCGAAATTCAGCTGTGCATAACTTTTCCCAAAACTGGTTTCCTCTATCATGATACCTGCAAGATAACACACACACACACACACACACACACACACACACACACACACACACGAGAGAGAGAGAGAGAGAGAGAGAGAGAGAGAGAGAGAGAGAGAGAGAGAGAGAACCAGGATTAGAACTACCATGGCAACAACTCATCCAAGAAACACATTTAAGTTTTTTTTTTCTTTTTTGGAGGAGAAACAGATCATCAACCCAAGACAATAGTATATATTTGCTTTCTTTTTCCCCAAGGATCAATGAATGAAACATAATATACTGAAACATATTCATCTCCCTGAAGAATTTTAGGAAAAATAGACATGTAGAAAAGAGTATACCTTACCCTGGACTAGTTTTTAACATTTCCTAATTCTGGGAAAGAAGATCAGGAATAGGAAAATCTTTCAGAAAGTCAGTTTTTAACTTTAACATAAATAGAGACAAAGACATAAAATATCCTATTTAGATAAATAGCATTTTAGTGCAACATTAAAGGACTCATGGCTTTAGGCAGATAATCTAAAAAGTTGGTCCCAGCCTTTCAAGTGTTGGAGTTAAAGGTGCACATCACCTTGCCTAGCCACTATTTAAGTTATAGTTATGGTTTAAAACTAGATCAAGAGCATTGTGTTAAAACCCATCTGCAGATGTCTGCTGGGCATCTATTTTCATCTACTAGATATGGTTATTTGGGTAGTTTCCTTCACATATACTATCTGTTTAAGAAGAGTCTTGAGTAATGTGAGTCCTCAGACAGAAGTCTGTCAGTGTCTTCTGAAACCGCAAACATTAATTGATTGGTAGGCACTTTATAAACCCTGAGTGTACTATTTCATGGCTGTCTTTTGTCTTGCTTCATGATAATTGTAGGTTTTTTTTAAAAGATAAAGTCTCGGTATATAGCCCAAGCTGGCCTAGAACTTGCCATCCTTCTGCCGCTGCATCTCAAATAGTTGGTTATAGACTTGTGCCACCATGTTTGGCTTGTAAATGTAATTTTTTTTTCAATTTCAACTTGAGATATTTTTCACAAGAAAGACAAAAAATACATATGGGACTAGTAGGATAAAATATCTGAAATTAAGTGTCTCAGAAAAATCTAGAAAAGTGTACATGGAACAAAAGCACAAAACCCAAGAACGTGGAAAATGAGAAGACAGGTGTTCTGCTTGGAAACAAGATCAAGCCTGGAGCATTTATGTATGCTCTGTACAGAGTAGAGTTTTTAAGGAACATTCTACAGTTAGTCATCTAATCAGAGTTTCTCCCACTTGTTCTGGGCCAGCTCTCACATTCCCCAGAGAACATTCTGCTTCAAGCTTGACAGGAAAGTTGAAAGGCATATTCCTTTCATAGAGGCATGTGTGGCTTGTCACAGTTGAACACAGAGATTTCTCAAACCTTCCAGCAGCTGTCTTCTATACAATTCTAAAAAGGAAGTCAGTATTCCTGGAATCACAAGGGATATGTTCATTAATTTTTAACTTATGGATTTTCAAAGATAAGGAAGATCTTATCAATATGCTGAAGAAAAGCTAACTGAGTGAATATGTAAGTGGAACCAAGAATGGGTTTGGGTTTTCTGAGGCATAGTTTAAGAAAGCATAATAGGATGAAACTGATACCATGAAGATTGAGGATGGTTTTCTAAATAACTTGTTAGTCTGATTTTTGTTTTAACATTTAGAACTTAAAATGGGGAGATAAAATGTTCAGATAAAGCTGTAAAACTTGTGACTGGGAAGTAGATATGTAATAGTGACAAGAGTGTTCAGTGCCAACAGGTTGATAGTTTAAAGATGACACATGCTCATTTACTGGCCAGTCATGGCGCACACCTTTGATCCCAGCACTCTGGATGCAGAGGCAGGAGGATCTCTGAGTTCCAGGCCAGCCTGATCTACAGAGTGAGTTCCAGGACAGCCAGGGCTACACAGAGAAATTCTGTCTCAAAAACCCAAAACATAAAAATAAATAAATACATGCTCACTTATTTCATATGAAAGTCGGAAGACAAAGAAGGAAGACAGAAAGAACTGGGCTACCAGGATGTTAGTCTATTTCCTACTTTAACTCAAGAAGAAATACACCTGCATGGACGTCTATGAACTGTACAGCACGGGCAATCTGAGGAACATCTGGACAAAGATTAAAGTGACAAGAAGCAATGATATTACAATTATGACAGTGTTATTAGAAAATAATATTGCAGGGGTACACTATAGGATACTTGATTTTCTGTATCATAAATTGGCTTCAAAGTGACCTGTAATGATGCTAGGATATTAAGAGTCTTGTGAGACAAGGATCTTAGGGAGACAGGATTCTCATTACTTTCAGAGTCCACATAGTGACTAATTATGAGGAAGTATGTCTCATTTAAGCACAAAGCAATGCTTCTGATAATCTGACCACTTGTCTTTCTGACCATTTTACATCAAAGGTAAAGGTGGAAGAAACTAGTAACTTTTACCCCAGTTCTAACCAATGTGAAGGAGATGTTTGGTGCCAGGAACCTGGCTAAGTCTAAGATAGTTAAAAGAGGAAATGATAGAGTATGCAGTTAGACATTTTTGCAAAACAAAAAACAAAAACAAAAAAAAAAACGAGAAGAGGGCTTTTAGAGTGAAGATGAAAGCTGTTTAAGGCTTAGAACAGAAACACACACACACACACACACCAGGGTTGATGCTCATTAACAATAATTTCTGATGAGAGACCAGTAGACTTTCTTGATGAGGAAGAAAAGAGGTATCTGAAGAGCCCAAGGCTCTTTAACTAAGGTCCCAAGATAGAAAGGGTACCTGCACGAAGGGTGTGGCATACCAGGAAACAGAACCGCAAGAATCCTGTCAGGAAAATTAGAGCCTGCTCCTCCTGCAAGGCCTTCTTATTTACTTTGCAGACTACTGATAATTCTAAAGAAGGATACCCCTGTAGCCTGTGCCATGCTTGGCCCCACGGGGTGGGTTCAGATAATTTATCCAGGACTTTGTAATCCTTCCCCACTAGGGGAAATTAGACACATTCCTTGAACCATGACTGTGTAAAAGAGACAGAGAAGCCCCAGAACAGATGTGTTGTGCTAATAAGTGATGGAGAAATTACCATCACTTATTAGTTTAGAAATTAGAAATTACCATCACTTATTCGAATTCTAAGTTCCTTCTTTGCTCCATCTTTGCAGTCACAAAGAATTACATTATGACTTAAAAATATGAATAAACCCTGATGAGAGGGATCTGAGAAGGGAAGGATCCTGAAGGGAAGTCACACCTTTTAGTACTTTATGTGCACATTTCATACTCATGTTGTTAAACAGCAAGCGCTCAGAAACGCTTATAAATAGATCTTAAGGTAAATGTTTTCATAAATAAGATACAAACTTATGTGTCTATGTCTAAACAGGTACCTATGTAACCGTAGCTAAGTATCTAAGCAGGTATTCTTGCTCCTCTTCCTATAATGGAAGGTTCTTCAAAAGTTCAGTAATGCTGAAGGTTTAGGAAAGATTCACAAATTGAGGGTACAGAATGAAAAATTTATGGTCAAGAAGATGATTCTAGCCAGGTGTGGTGTCATATGCTTATAATCTTAGCACTCCTGAGAATGAAAGAAGTAGGAGCTGGAGGTTAGTCTGGGTTACACAGCAAGATCCCTTGTTCAGTTGGTACAGTGTTTTCCTAGAATGAGGAAGCCCTAGGTTCAACCCCCAATACATAAACTGGACATCCCAGCACTGTGTAGGCAGGATGATCATAAGTTCAAGGTCACCCTTAGGTCAACCTAGGATACATAAAACTCCACTTTAAAAAATTACTTAATATTAGCTGGGTGTTGGTGGCGCACACCTTTAATCCCAGCACTCTGGAGGCGGAGGCAGGCAGATCTCTGTGAGTTCGAGACCAGCCTACTCTACAAGAGCTAGTTCCAGGACAGCCTCCAAAGCCACAGAGAAATCCTGTTTTAAAAAACTGAAAAAAATGCTTAATACTATAGATAATAAACAATAACTAAAAATCAATTGAAAAGTTTATTTAAATAAACTTTTCTTGTTATTATAAGTTATATGATATATAATATGCCTGATCATATAGATAATTAAAGCCAAGAGTGAAAATACAATTGTATCATGACATAGATTATATTTAAGACATTAAAAATTCAATTAATCTTGACAATTAATGAAAAGGCAGACTGTGGATGGAGCTCACTGACAGAGCACTTGCCCAGCTCAGCCAAGGCAATAAGTTTGATCCTTAGCACTGCCTAAAAGCAGCCAAACAAAAACAATAATAATGAAAAGCAAAAGAAAAATAATTTTAAAATATGAATGACTTCATTACAAATATTATACATGCTATAGCGATTTTATGGATATATGATATAATGTATATTATTCTTTATGAGAGTCTTATACTAGAATTTTTACTATATGTAATTTAAAATGTGATTCCCCCCAGCAGTGCTTCTTCAACTGCTAATGTCAAAACAAGATTTAAGCCAGGTGGTGGTAAGTTCCAGCACTTGGGAAATAGAAGCAGGTGGATCTCTGTGAGTTCCAGACCACCCTGATCTGCAAAAGTTAGTTCTAGGTCAGGCTCTAAAAAGAAAGAAAGAAAAAACAAACAAACAAGATTTAAAAATATACGAAGACTGATGGGGAGGCAGAAGCAGGTGGATTTCTGCAAATTCAAGGTCAGTCTTGTCTACACAGAGTTCCAGGTCAGTCATGGCTGCAAAAGGAGACAAAAAGCACAAAACCTGCTGAGATACAAACCTATAAATTTCAATATTCTTGCTCTTTTGCCTAGAAAGCCTAGAGGCAGTTGCTTCTCCAGCCACAATTACAGTATTGTTTTCCATGACTACCCCAGTGCACACTGTTCCCAAACCCTCCCCATACTTGGGTGATGAAATAAAATAGGTCTTCCGTGACATGGGGTCATAACAAAAACTGGCGTCCCCATAGTTCCTGTGCCGCGATCTGATTCCAGAAGAATTGTTCCCAATGCAAAGCAGCAGGCTGGTGGTCTCCATGCCATAGCGAAGATTAGGGGAATGCTGCTGGGGCATCTTGATGGCTTTGAATGCGTTCTGGATTATGTCGATGCAGCTACCATCACAAAGGAGCATCGTGTTCCTTCTTAGAGCCTGTCTTAGAAAGGCAGCATTTATAAGTTCCAGTCTGACTTGCTTCAAAAGCTCAACGAGATGCTCTGTGCGCAATGCTTGGTTATGATTTACCCATCTCAGAACCAAGTCTAGAATGCTCTCTTCTCTGGTTATATTCAAGTCATCAGACTTAATAAGTGCCAGAAGCTGGTGCGCTTCAATGTCTAGTATTTCTCCATGTAGGCTTACCTCAGCAAAGTGCTGATATAAATACTTCTTCGACTGATCAGCTAAATCTTCTGCTCCAATTTGTTTTGCAAAATAATAGATTCCAATGCAGTTGGAAGCATCCATGTGATCCATCATATATTTTTGGCACACCCCAAAGACTTCTTCCATCTGCATAAAATAGGCAGCCATTGCTACGGTCTGTACATTGGCATTATTGATCTCCAGAACTGCACTGTACATATAGTTTAGGATCACTGATACACTTTCTGCTGTGATGTCGTAGAGTATGACCTCCCTCTGAGTGCACTCCAGTAGTCCACAGGTGAACATAGCCTTGAAATAAGGACTAAATGCAGCAAGGACCAATCTGTGGCAAAGAAATTTCTCCTCTTCTGCTATGAGCACTACATCAATCATTTCTTCTAATTCTTTCATATTTTTAATTTTATCTAGTAAATTCAAGCTATGCTGGTGTTTTCCCTTTCTCTCAGTCTGGCACTCCATGATATACTCCTTGAATTTTGTAAGTAAGGTTTCTTTGAGTTTAGCTTGATTCCTGAGGGGTTATTTGCATTTCTGATTACTCACAAATCAACAGCACATAAAACAGTCCTGAGGGTAAGAAAAAAAGCAGATTTTGTCTAAGAAATTTTTTCATAATTAATGCATAGCATTAATGCTAAGAAGTATTTATAAATAAATATTATACATTCAGAACAGAGCAATTTAAGACAACTACTTTGTATCTAAAAAGACTTTGATGTGTAAATCATCAATTATTAACTGCTACTGCAATAGTTTCTAATCATCAGTGGGATTTTTTTTTCTAGGACTAGAAAACCTCAGAGTGAAGGAAGAAAGAAGTAAAAAGATAAGCACATTTTGCAATTCCATTTCTAATTATCAAATGGGTCAGTTAATATCATTTCTGAAGACATGCAGTGTTACACCTGGGTTACACTCAACTTCTCTACAACACACACCACATACATGTATCATGACTAATTCATAAGACTAGGACTAGGACTACATAGACCCTGAAAGTGGGAGAACTGAAACAAAATTCACATTCTGATAAAACTTTTGTATGGGAAAAACTATTCAGACTGGCAGGTAATGACAATTTCATTTCAATGGCTGATGATCTGAGAATTCTGATATTTAAAACGTAAACCTAAATGTGTCTTCCTTCCTGGCCCAGCTTTTCTTTGTTCCCTGCTTCTCAGTGGCACAGTCTGAATTGCTTCTTGCCTTTAAAAACCCTAGTCTAATTAAAAGTCTCTAAGCTGGTAGTGTCACCTTCGCCTTCCCCAGGCGATGCAAACATGAGGTTTCAAGGAAGTTAATTAGCTGCTTTGATTTAAAGAAAGGCATTCCCAGAGCCAGGAGCTCTTGTGAGGAGCGGGTCCTAGTCTCTATATCCTTTTCTAGTTCTCACTTGGCTACAATACAGGCAGTGAGAACAAATAGTGATGGTGGCAGAATTAAAACTTAAGAAAGAAATGTGGGGTTACAAGAACAGGAATACATTTTTCAACTAGAGATGGTAGTGAGTCCCCAAATTTCTATAGCCCCATAAAGAATTAGACATTTCATGAAAGAGCACCTTTTTTCCCTTTTGAGTGTTGAATTAAATTTCAACTCAAGAAACAAGTGATATACACATAGCAAGGAGTTATAAATAAAGACCCAAGACGCACTGTGAGAGCCTGTGACATAACAACCATCCGAGCTAAGAACTGAAATAGCCTTAAAGTCTACCTGCTGGACATTCTGGCATTGCCTTTTCTGTTTTACTTCCACAAAGCTTAAAGCTGTTTTGGAGATTGCTTTCTGGTTAAAAGAAAACCTCTGATTTATTCATTTATTTTATTTATCTATAAACATATCCAGTTATGGACAATTAGGACATTGTTGTATGTCTGAATTCTCTTATACATACTATGACAAGCTCAATTCACATTATATAGGTGTTCAGACACATCACTTTATACACAAAAGCTATTAGTTGGGGCTAAAAATAACCCAAGTTATTTTGTTGTTGTTGTTCAGCTCTGAGAATTGAACCTGGAGTATCTATCACATGTGCTAGGCAAGCTCTTTACCACAGAGCCACATACCCTTTGCCCAGAACATAAGCCTTCTTTTAAGGAAGAAACTTTTGTTTTTGTTTCTTGAAACAGTGTTTCTCTGTGTAGCTCTTGCTGTCCTGGAACTTCCTCTGTGGGCTAGCTTGAGTTTAGGAATCTACTTGCCTCTGCCTAGGGAGTGTTGGGATCAAAGGCATGTGCAACCACAGCCTGGCCAAGGAAGCAAGTAAAAAACAAACAACAAAAAACCCTAATATTTTATTTGTATTGATGTATAAGAATCCCTCAAAGCATGTCACTGTTCATGATGTCAGAAGGTCAAGTGCACCTTCTAGATGAGATGCCCTTAACCTAATACACTGTAAGCAGTTTGGTCAGTTCGTAGACTTCTGATCTTGATAGTATTAGAACTCTGATGCTAGAGACCCAAAGTTTATGATTATAATCATAATTTCACATATGTAAGATAGGAGCAAAACTCTACCTGATAAACTTTTTGGTGCTACTTTTTGGCTATTGTGATAAAAAAGAAGGTCAAGTTAAGTAATCTGTTCATAAACATATACAGGTGGTATTTAAAATATTTTTCATTATTTTGATTTTATGTGTATATGTGTTTTGTTTGCATGTAAAATTGTGCACCATGTGTGTGGTACCTACAGAGACCAGGTAACAGTTGTGTAATCCCCTGGAACTGGAGTTATAGACAATTGTAAGCCACAATACTGGGAATCAAACCTGGGTCCTTTGAAAGAGCAGTCAGACCTCTTAGCTGCTGAGCCAGATCTCCCCGTGATATCTTACAGATTTTGTGGTTGAAGATGCTGGGCTTCTCTTAGTATCTAACCCACCTTCCTGGAAAAAGACTGGCCTCTACATCCTTACTAATGTTACTGGTTCAATCTGGGTCTTGTCTCCATGGCTAGGAGGTCCCTATGTTAGACATTGCTACAGCCATGTCCCTGTGAGACAGCATCAGAACAAAGAAAACTCAGGGAAGGAGGCAGAGTATTCAGAGAGATGGGTTTGAAAATATGTTTTATATCAACAGTATATGGGTTTGAGGCAGTTCAATCTGATTTGAATTGGGAATGCTATTATGAAGAAATGTTGAGAAAAGTAGACTAAGGTAGCTATAATTATGTACACCACTGGGTTGTAGTCTTCTATTTTCAGATACTATACTGTCAAATAGACCCATCAGAATCTAGTATCCTTATTCCTCCTTCATAAAAGCACCAATCACAAGCTGGGCATGATAGCACACATCTTTATTCCAAGCACTGCAGGGGCAGGGGCAGGGGCAGAGGCAGGGGCAGGAGGAGTTCTATGGGTTCAAGGCCAGCCTGATCTGCATAGCAAGTGTCAGAGCAGCCTGGACTACATGGTGATGTCTTGTCTCAAGGGGGAAAAAAGCACTAATCATGTAAGTTACTCTTTTCTATTGGCTTCTTGTGAAATGGTCAAGCCCTTATACATGGGAAAAGACCGAATGTTGAACCCAATTCCATCTTAACCCAAAGTCTGCATCCTTACTCCTCCTAGTGCAAGGGCTGGAAACCTAGGGCTAGATGGTAAATGTGCCAGGCAGGCCATCTGGGCTCTGTCACAACCACTCAACTTTGCTCTTCTGGCACTAAAGCAGTCACAGGGGGACAACACAAACAAATGAACATGTCTGTGTTCCAGTAAAATGAATTTTGGATGCTGAAATTTGAATTTCACAGATTTAATATGCCCTATTTTCATGTATCATGAAATATTATTCTTCTTTTGACTTTTAAAAGCTATTTAAAATTATGAAACCTGTTCTTAGCTCATAGACTTTGCAAAAACAAGTGGCAGGTTGCCGACTGCTCCAAAGCTATAAATAAATCTACTCTCAAGACTGTGAGTAGGACACTCTCCTGTCTGGGTGACTAATCTCCATTTCTTTTCCTAAATTCAGCTGAAGAGTTTTGAGAACTGGTTGTCTGCTTTGAAAATATCAACTGTTTGTTCATATCTATATCTATATTATCTATACCTATAGTTAATCTCTTGAACAAATGGTGTATTTGGATGTGGTTCCTTTTTCTCAAACATTGGCTTACACAAATAACAAAACCCCTTCAATTTCCTTTAAAACAGAAAACAGTTTCAAACACTTTGAAGAATAATTTACTGTGAATGTTTTAAATAGGCCTATATATTTTCTAACTACCTATTCCTTCTAATTGTTGTTTATAGATTCCTGAAAGGTATTCTAATTGCTTTGGCTGTACAAATCAAATTAATTTACTGGCTGAAATCTTGAAAAAAAAAGTCTGGATGCTAAATTAGCTATCACACATAAAAAATATACTCAGCATCTAAAGAGCATAGAAGGTATTGGCTTGGCAAGTTGAGGTTAAGCTAGCTGCGTACTTGCTGTCACCTTAAAATGATTTAACTTTTCCAAAATATTGGTATCTTCATCAGAACAATGGGGATAAAGCATATAAATAAAGTTTTTTGGTCGTTGGCCCCTAAATGGACAATACGTAGATTTTGACATCACAGTGACTCAGCAAAAACAGTACAGCTCCACAGTTAGGGACAGAACTTGGGCTTGGTTCCTGAGGCCTTGATCTGACTCCTGTTCTGCTGTAATCCAATAACATGAACATGTTTCATAGCCTCTTTAAGTTCTAGTTTCTTCACCTGAGATTTCTTTTGAGAATTACGCAAGGACAGTTGGAAGAAACAAATAAGGTTATGCATGTAATTATCTTTGTATCTACATGGTAAAGTGAAGGCAGAACATACCTGTACAAACATTTCTCAAAATAATTTGAGTGTATACACAGATCACTTGTGGAATCAGATACAGCTCATAAATGGAGTGAGCTGGCAGCAACTTTTTCTCATAATGAGGGTAGAGAGTGCATTCTCCTTTCATCAGCAAAACAAAATTGTATAAATGTTCTCAATGATATCAATGGGGAGTTATTCTCTGCTCCAATTTATAACAGACTGAACTGATGCATTCATAATAATAGTACCCATAATAATGGAGAAAGATGAGTAGCAAAGATAAATATAAATCACAAGAATAAAGCCTAATTATTCTGCAAATCCAAAATGCAGTTACACTCAAGTCTATTATATTTAGTTTAGGGAAGTGCACTGCTCTAAGTTTAATGGGGGGTGGGAATGTCAATATCTTTACATCATCAGTGTTTTGCTTTCAGAGACCAGGGGCCTCCAACCAGACCAATGATTCTTTGTGATGAACGCTTGCATGTAAAAATGTATGGATAAAGGGGTTTACTGTGTGACTTGCTGTGTTGCAGCACTGCAGCTTCCTTGACAATTCCATCTTCCCCCCTTTCCTCCTGAATTTTATTTTGTTTTATTCTGGTGGGGAGGGAGACAGGTGGGATCAGTAGACATGATGTGAAAGACACAAAGAATAAATAATTAGAAAGTTGAAAAATGTTTTACTTTCACAATCATCTTTCCATTATCTTTACAGTTGCTACTTTTTTTCTGAATAATGATTGGCATTTGACCAAGCTTTCCTTTCTAAGAAAATTCTCCATCTTTAGCAGAAGTTAAAGTAATTAAAATTCATAGCAACACTGTTTGAAATAGCAAAAACCAACTTAATATCCATTAGCAGAAGACTATAGTATATTCACTCAAAAGAATATCGTTACAGCAGAAAAGCCAATAAAGGTGACCCTCATGTATCAAAAATATGGTTACAAAAGGACTAGAATAAATGCTGCTTACTATTAATGTGTTTAAAATATACAATGCAATAGAATAGTGTAGATCATATATTCTGACAACATACATATAAACAGTTGGCAAATTTGGTAAAGTATATTATAAGTGTTTTCATATTATTTTTAGATTTTTCTGTAAATTTGGAAACACCAAAATAAAAAGGTTAAAAAATTATGTATTTTTAAGGACCTGTACAACTGTACTGGAACATAAAGAAGTAATTATAAGGAGAGAGGTTACCTTCAAGAGATGCGGGAAGAAGAAAGGAGGACAAACAGAAAAGAATGACAAGGAGTTTCAACTATATAAATGTTTAATTTCCCTAGCTGAATGGTGAGAACTCAATCCACACTTCATTGTTCTTTATGCCCCTTTGTATATCTTGAAACCTGCATGAAATGTGTTTAGAAGACTGTATTAATATTAATCACGTATGGCTTCTGAAAACCTTAGCCGTGTTGTAAATGATATCTGTACATTATCTGATATGTCATATGCAGAGAAATAATAGATACATTATGAATTTCATACACTGTAAATTTACATATCAAAGTGTAGGCAGCCCAACTTATGAGTGACGGGAAAGTACAGAGACCTCCTATCTGGTCTGAACAACAACAGCTTTGAAATCTTGGGGCTGTCCACCCCCCCTACTTCTTTGTTCATTTCTTTAGCATTGACCTGTGTGATGGGAAAAGTTACTAGATTCAGAATTGTTGTGTGTTTATTTCCCCCATAAAAATGTTTGGAACAGTAAATAGATTACAACCAGGATAGAAATGATCAACATCAAAGCTTTCCTATATATGTGTGTGTGTGTGTGTGTATTTGTGTGTGCATCCTGAAGTGCAGAATGTAACTAAAATAGGGCTCCAGAATCTAGTTGTAGTTTTTCCAAAATTGCCCCCAACAGACTTAGGTTAACAAACCAAGAAATGCCAGCATTATGATATCAGAAAATAATGTCCCAGTTCCAATGTTTAAGGCAAACTCCTTTATTAGAAGGCCTTTTTATAGTCGGTGACTACCATGGAGAAAATTGTTGCCTCGCATTAAAAAAAAAAAAAACCAAGGGTCTATTGCAAGCATTGCAGGCTCCTTGTAGCCTGGCTCCTTCCACTACTGCCTGTCTCATTTCCTAACTTTACTCCTGGTGGTTTTTTGTAGTGTCAAAGTGCTAGCAATTCTAATGCAAAAGTGTAATTCTCTGTGTTGGGAACATCCTTCTCTCCCTGTCCAGCTCATCAAAAGTCAGCTCAGATACCACTCTCTTGAAGTAAAGGGCTTTGTGTTTCATCCACGTCTCTTTTTTGTATTTGTCTGTGGTGATACTTGGTATATGAGTTGCTTAGCATAGTTTGGTTGGTCAAAATAATGCTTTGTTTAGTACTAGATCTTTCCCAATAACGTATCCCGCCTCCCTCGGTCCTAAAGATATTTTTTGAGACAGGGTCTAGCTAGGTAGCACCGGTGGGCCTCTAATTTACAGAGATCTTGGTAGCCTGTGTCTCCTGTGTGCTGGGATTAAAGGCGTGTGCCACCACGTTTGGCCCTCCCCTTTATACCTTGCAGGTACATGTTAGTTTTAGAGATTTTTACTTGGCTTAAACTTTATGCTTTTAAACTTTAAGTTATTATCCTCTTGTCCAATTATAAAATTCACCCACAAGACTTTCTTCCCTTGCCTATAAAATTTGCTGCATTATGAATCTACTTCTCACCCCCACCTTCAAAATTAATCCACAGCCATTACTTGCTCTAAGATAGAGGCCTCATTCTTGGGGAATAACCAGCAGAAGCTGGCATCAGCTTCAATACACAAACTTGAAACATTCCCATATCTATAGAAAAGGGAAAAAAAGTAAGATGGGCAACAATGGGTCCTTCATTCCGATGTGACTGAAGAGCCAACTACAGCTCCTCAGAGGGCACATCTGCCCACCTTTATTTACCAAGGCCTAAGTGTCAACTGTCATTTAGCTTATGTTGTTTTTCTCATCTCTCTCCTTGTAGATGATTTTACAGCCATTTAAGTTTGTGACCCCTCGTTTGTAACGTTTTGTTTCTGCCATCACCAGCTTTCCCCAAACATACATTTACCAACGTGGTAGGAGATGGCTCTGAAGACGCATACCACCCTAAATGTACTTTCGCCTTTCTCAATTCACTAATATACGTTAGTATTTAATACTAATAATTTACCCCCAATCATACTCAAGGCAAGTAATAACCAGTCACAGAGATTATAAAGTCAAAAAAGCTTTCTTTTCTCTTTGTTTTTGGTGCGCTCACAATGTTTTGCATTCACAGTTCTTTATACTTTTCCAAATGCTTTAATATGTATTATAGCTCATTAGTTCCTCTTAAGAATCATGTGGGGAAAATGCAAGGTAATTATATTCCTGGCTTTAAAGTTAAGAGAGTTGCCCAGGGATAGATTCAGCGCTGATTGAATTTAAACGAACCGAACCCTGCATTATTAAGGGGCTCTAGGAAGGCAGAAGAGCCCTTACCTCGATGGCGTTTAGAGTCTAGCTGGGATGGAACGGGTCATTTAGGGAAGGGCACCATCATGGAGGGCACGCAAATGAATTATGCCACAGGGAGACCCAGCGGCCGCTGACCCTCGCCGGCCGACCCGCGGGCGCGTCCCCTCTCCAGGCCCCTACTTACTTGCTGCCGCCCGGCCCCGCTCGCTCCGCTGCGATGGCGCCGTGACTGGGCACGCCGCGGGGTCGAGGGCACGGCCGGGCGGGTTTGACTGACCACATTGCCCGAAATGGGCCAGTGCGGACAAGAAATATAAATAGACAGAGCCGGGGGGGGGGGGCGGGGGACAGGCGGCGCCTCAGCGGGGACAAGGACGGCGCTGGCGGCCACCCTGAGCTAACAGGTGCTCGCTCGCTCGGTCTCTGCGCGGGAAGCGGCCCGCCACGCGCCGCAGTGTGCGCCTGCGCGGGGGTCTACCCGCTCCTACCCCTCATGTGTCCACTGCAGTCCCCCACCCGGCAAGTGCTCTGCGCCTGCGCGGGGTCTTCCCGCGCCGATTCCACACCACAGCCTTACCTCAGGCAGGCACTCTACGCCCGCCCAGAGACTTCCCGCGCCAACAATGGTGGTCTATCAGGAGCCTAAAGGACACCTTCTAAAAGAGACTTTGGAAGTCGGATCTTTTAAAGGTGGCAAATGTTTCATTTAGTCTTTAAACGTTGCAAAACTCAAGCCCTTTGTGTGATTTCAATTGAGAACGGCCTGAACAAACACAGACATAAATTTAGACATAACCCCCCCCAATCAACATTTAGAAGCAACTCATTGTTTTGGGTTGATTTTCTGTACTTTTATTCATTACATCTGGATGCTGGACCTCAGCAGTCAGCCCCTGTTTTTTTGTTTTGTTTTGTTTTTTCGGGGGGAGAGGAGAGGATCCTTAAGAAGCATAAGGAGTCCCCTACTCCTGAGGAAAGACTAAGTCTGTTCTCAGCTGAGGGTGCTGCAGGGATGGGAAACTTACCCCCAGAAGTGTCACAGAGCCTCTACTGTGTGAATAAAGAAGCGGTACTATGCCTGCTGGTTTAAACAAAACAAAATGGCTTTAGTATGGTGTGTTAGCTTACAGATTACATCTCACTGCTCTAGAGATCAGAATTGCACAATGTCTTCCCAGTGGGTTAAAATGAAGGTGTCAGTGGGCACGTGTTTCTAGGAGAGACTCTGTCTACCGGCTGGTTTACAGATTCTAGAATCTGTTCTGATTCTTTTGTGTGTGATTCCTTCCTCATAAAAGTCAGGATGGGGGTGATAGGGAATAATTCCAGCACCCAAGAAGTGATGGCAGGAAGATCAGGAGTTCAATGGGTTTTGGCTTCATGGTGAGTTCAAGGCTAACTTGGGGCACATAAGACACTGTATTATCCCACCCCAAGCCAGGGTCATAGAGATGAGTCCTTCTCAGGTTGCATGACTCCATTGCACAATCTTCTTTTGCTTAAAAAAAATCTTTGTGGTAAAATATGTATAACATAAAATTTGCCATTTCAACCTGACATCCCTAAGTATGTTAACAATACTACAGTTTGGAAGTTAAATATTCCCCAGAAGTTTGCATGTTGAAGGCCCCAGGGTGATGCTATTGGAAAGTGCTATGACTTTTAGGATGTGGGACCTGGTAAGTCCTTAGATCATTGGAGGGTATGCCTCGGATGGACTCAGTAGGACCTCAGTTGGTCTTCTTACCTCCTGCGATCAGTCAAGCTGTTTGCTCTGCCACTCCACACTATTACCATCCAGCTCACCTACCAGAGGTCCAAAACAATGGCCTCAACCAGTCTTGCTCTGAAACCTTTCCCAATTGAAATAAAATAACATTTTTCTTTATAAGTCAGTCACCTCAAATATTTCATTATAGTAAGTGGTAGCTGAGTAACACAACTGCCATTACCATTTCCATTTCCACATTTTAAAAATCATTCCAAACAAAGAACTCATTAGAAAGTAACTCTCCATTTTTCTCTCCTACAAGTACCTGGTCATCTCCATTGTGTTTTCTACCTGTATGAATTTACCTGTTATACATACTTTATATAAGCAGAAGCATATAATATTTGTCCTTTTGTTACTGATTTATTGAACTTCACATAATGCCCATGTATATCATGTCATGTATGAAAATTACCTTCTGTTTTAAGAATTGACATTACTTTGTGTTTAATCTGTAAATACTGTATTGGGAATTTTTTGTCCTGTTTTTCTCTGTTGAAGGAAGAACTCACTATGCAGCTACTACTGCCCTCAGGCTCATCATCCTCTGGCCTCAGCCTCTCTTGGAACACTGTGTAGCATTGTTCTTGCATATGTTTGTGTCTCTCCTTTTCCCACAAACACCCCTTGACCTGCCAGCTCCATTTAGACCCTTCTACAGTTATTTCCACTCTTGCTTTTGTTTTTTTTTTTCTTTTTTTACAGGGTGTCAGTATGAAGCCAAGAGGTCTTTCTTGGCTTGAGTCGCAGATTTCTTTAATTTCCTCGTTGGCTATTTTATTTTGTCTTTTACATTTGTTTCAAGAGGAAATGGGGTTGCGTGAGTCCAGAGGCCAGTTTACATCCTGCATTTTATCCCTAGGTGACTTATAGTTGATCTCAAAATACTTGTTTGCCAAATGATTAATCAAGTATTAATATTTAGCAAATATACTGCCCCATCAAACAAGCACTAAGAGCTTTTAGGCTTGAACTTGGTTCTTAGCCCTGCATTTAAGTCTTACTTTCTGCACATGTGGGATGAGTGGTGTGTGTGTGTGTGTGTGTGTGTGTTCACATGAAGCTTCAGCTTCAGCATCTGTGGATTCCTATGGGATAGTAGAGATTTTAGCTGTTGCAATCTCTCTCTCTCTCTCTCTCTCTCTCTCTCTCTCTCTCCCTCCCTCCCCTTCTCCATACCCCTTCCTTCCTCCCTCCCTCCCTTCTCTTTTTGGTCCTTGTTGATTCTTGTCTTAAAAGCACAGAGTATTCTTTTCAGTGCCTGGCACACTGTGTTCCTACTGCAGAGCCTTGTACTGTGGCAATCGCTGTATTTCCCCTCAGTGCTAGTCAGTTTTCCATCACCTTAACAAGCACTTAAAAAATAAACTTATAAAGAGAAAAAGATTCATCCTGAGTGAGGTAACCCAGTCACAAAAGACAATCATGGTATGTACTCACTCATATATGGATTTTAGACATGGATCAGGGGAGAGCCAGCCTACAATCCCACTGTCAGAGAGTCTGGGAAACAGGAAAGAACCTAAGAGAGGTATGCATGGTACCCCAGAGAAGGGGAATGAGGCAAGATCTCCTGAGCAGATTGTGAAGGGAATGGGGGCTTGGAAAGAGGGAGGGGGAGAAGAGGAGGAAAGAGAAGGTATGGGGGAGCAAGAAGGTTAAGTTGGGGGGGGAATAGGGGAGAACAGGATGAGAAATACCATAATAGAGGGAGTCATTATAGGTTTGAGGAGAGATCTGGCACCAGTGAGATCTCTAGCAATCTACAAGGATGACACCAACTGGCAAACTAAGCAATAGTGGAGAGACTACCCTAAATGTCCATCCCTGATAATGAGTTTGACAACTACCTTATGTACCACCCTAGAACCTTCATCCAGTGACTGATGGAAGCAGAGGCAAAGACTCACAGCTAAACACTAAACTGGCCTCTGGAGCCCAGTGACAGAGGGGGGAGGAGTGATGAACAAAGGGGTAAAGAATGGGCTGGTGAAACCAACAGAAACAGCTGAACAAGGGGGAGCTCTTGGACCCCAGACTGACAGCTGGGAATCCAGCATGGGACTGATCCAGACCCCCTGAATGTGGGTGTCAGTGAAGAGGCCTGGACAATCTATGGGGCCATAGACAATAGATCAGTATTTATCCTTAGCATACAAATGGACTTTGTGTGTCCATACCACAAAGAGGGATGCTCTCTCAGCCTGGACTCTTGGGAGAGGGTCTAGGCCCTGCCCTGAACGAAATGACAGAATCTGGATATCCCCTATGGGGAAGGGAGTGGGGATAGGGTGGGAGGCTGGGGGTGGGGCTGGTGGGGGGATGCAGGAGGAGGGGAGGAAGAGGGAGCTGGGATTCACATGTGAAGCAAGCTTGTTTCTAATTTTTAAAAATGTAATAAATAATAATAAAAAAGAGATTAAAAGATTCATTTTGGCTCATAGTTTTATAGATTTCAGTTCATGATCAACTGGCACTGTTGCTAGAATACCAGGGCCAAAGTACATGGATGTTGTAGTGGTTTGAAAGAAAATGACCCTCAAAAGGAGTGGCACTATTAGGATGCGTGGCCTTGAGGAAGTGTGTCACTGTGGGATAGGCTTTGAGGTCTCATATGTGCTCAAGCCATGCTCAGTGTGACACTCAGTCTACTTCCTGTTGTCTGCATATTAACATGTAGCAGCTCCTTCTCCATCACCATGTCTACCTGCATGCCGCCATGTCCCATCATGATAATGGACTGAACATCTGAACTGCAAACCACCACCCCAATTAAATGTTTTTCCTTTATAAGAATTGTTATAGTCCAGGTGAATCTCTGTGAGTTCAAGGTCAGCTTGGTCTATAGCGTGAGTTTCAGGACAGCCAGAGCTACACAGAGCAACCCTTGCTTGAAAAACAAACAAACAAAAAACAATGACAACAAAAAAAATTGCATGGTCATGGTGTCTCTTCACAGCAATAGAAACCATTACTAAGACAGGTGCAATAAGCAGTAAAATGACTTATTTCATGTTCTGGGAGTAAAGGAATGACAGGAAGAGACTGAGGTCCTACAAATCACTTTGAGGACATACCCTATTGATCTGTAGACCTCATCCTAGGCCAGTGGTTCTCAACCTTCCTAATGCTACGACCCTTTAATACAATTCCTTATATTGTGGTGACCCCCAGCCATAAGATTATTTTCATTGCCACATCATATTTGTAATTTTGCTATTGTTTTGAATCTTTAATCTTTTTTATTTTAAAACAATCTTTTCTCATTTTACATACCAATCCCAGTTTCCACGCCCTCCCTTCCTCTGTTCTCTCTGCCTTCCCCCACCCTTGCATCCACTCCTCAGAGGGAGTAAGGCTTCCCATGGGGAATCAATAAAGTCTGGCACATCACTTTGAGGCATGACCAAGGCCCTCCCCACTATATGTAGGCTGAGTAAGGTATCCCTCCAAAGAGAATGGGCTCCAAAAAGCCAGTTCAAGCACTAGGGATAAATCCTGGTCCCACTGCAAATGGTCCCACAGACTGCCCAAGTCATACAACTGTCACCCGCATTCACAGGGCCTATTTGGTCCTATGCAGGTTCCTCCACTGTCAGTCAGCTCCCACTAGCTGTTTCTGTGGGTATCCCCCAAATGACCTTGACCCCTTTGTTATGAATCTTAATGTAAATGTCTGTGTTTTCTGATGGTCTTAGGCAACCCCTGTGAAAGTGTTGTTTGACCCCCAAAGTGGTCACGACCACAGGTTAAGAACCATTATTCTAGACCCTACCTTTTAAAGTTTCCATCACCTGCTAATTGCACCAAGCCATGGAGCAAGACTTCAGCACACAGGCCTCTGAGAACATTCCAGATCTGAACTATAACACAGCAACACTGAAAGTATTCATAGGCCAGGACCACTGTCCTCTTTGCATCAATGTCCACCTCTGCAACATTCATGTGCTCTTCTCAGGGAAGGATCACTGACTCCAACCACTATAAGACAAAGTGCTTCCATGCAAACAAAGTAAGGTGGGTCTGGAGCTGGGACACCCAGTGTCCAGACCTGGCTCTGTCCCTGAAGCCTCCGTGCTTCCTGCAAATCACTCAGATTTCTGCAATAGCACAAGTAAACCCTACCTAGGAATGGGTTTATTTTACATTAAAAAAAAAACTGGTAGGAGGATGAAATTGTTCTGCTAGTGAATGTGAAAGTGCTTAATAAACTAAAAAGTCACACCAAGTCATTTTCCTCTGACAGGCATGTGATATTAAACTCTTTCCCAAAGATCTTGAAAATGGGCTTTTGTGCTTTTCCTCAGCTCTTATTCTTGAGTGTACTCTCCCTTCCTTAATAAATTCTCATCTGTTTTTAAGCACATGTCCCCGGTGGGATCCTTTGCCTTGGGGTACAAAGAGTCTGGAATCAGTTGTCCACTCAACTCATGTCTGTGACTCAACACTGTTAAGTATGCTTCTCTGACATTGTGGGCTTTCGCACTGTTCTTCTGACCTCCATGTCTAACTTAAAAGGCACACATTTCTCCATATCTCCTTCTCCTGGCAGTTGCCAACATTTTCAGTTTGCCTGACCTTTTGTCTTTGAAACGTTAATAAAATTGTCCTTGATCTTCAAAAAGTTCTTGAGAATGGAACAGAAAGCTGTCTCCTATTCATAATCTGTTTCATCCCACCGTGAACTAGATATGGACCACATTTCTTTTGTTGGCTTTTCCATTTTAGGAATCTATCACAGAGAGCTCAGAGAACGGAATTATTACCAGTTTACTAAGCCCCACTGTTCCATTTCTGTGAACACAGCCTATTCAGACAGCCTTTCCATCCTGAGGGCATTTGAGGCTACATACAAGTTAATCACAAAACCTCTGGAAACCAAATTTCTCTTGTTTGGGACTATTTAATTTTTCTCAGGCATGCAATCTCCAAATCTCAAGAATATGAGCACTCAAATTCTGCTTTAGTCCGGTTCCAAGTTGTTTCTTGACACAAACATGATGAGTTGTTATTGTTTGTTGTGTTATTAAGCAATAATCCAGTGATCCTTACAAATCATTAGAATGAGAGTTCCCCAAAATACAGAAAGCAGATTTTTAATACACAGTTGCCTGAATGGGAGCCTTTTAAGGCAGCTGAAGTGGCTCCTCTTTTCTTAATCTGCCTTCCCTCAAATATTGCCCTCATCTACCTGCCCCAGGATAGCTCACCACTACTTCCAAACAGCAGCGAAGAGGGGGTATCAAGCCATTCTCTGTAAGAGGGTACCTCTGTGCATATAAGATGATTTACTGCGTATCACTGGCTTTTAGTTGCACAACAAAACTTATCTGTCAAGAAAAGGGATTGGGGAATTTAGTTTACCCTGGATAGCAAATATTTCTTTTCTATTCAGAAGACAGGAGATACAATATCATATTTAAGTAGGTAACATCATGTATCATTCGCACTCTATAACTCAAACATTCATTTTGCTTTCATAATGCCTTGTACCTTTCCTTTCTAATTTTTTTTTTTTTTGGTTTTTCGGGTTTTTCGAGACAGGGCTTTTCTGTATTGTTTTGGAGCCTGTCCTGGTACTTGCTCTGTAGACCAGGTTGGTCTTGAACTTACAGAGATCTGCCTGTCTCTGCCTCCCGAGTGCTGGGATTAAAGGCGTGCGCCACCAACGCCCGGCTCTAATTGTTTTCAAGTTTAGTTTTGCATTTGTGTAACTAATGGCTTCTCTCTCCAAATGCTGTGAGGGCAAGGAGTGTGTATGTCTCTGCCTTCAAGCCTAACACAGCCAGGTGCAGAGTAGATTCTTGATAAGCTGTGGAGTTAATGAATGTATGTTATTAGGGAGTCCCTCATTATCTCCAGGACCATTTTGTGTCTTCACCAAAACACACTTGTAGCAGTACACTGATGCTGTCTTCTATGTTCTCAAAGCATGTTCAGCTGTCTTCTCACTGGTAAATAGCCTTAGCTGATGACACTACAGTATTTCAGGTCTCTATCCTGCTGGATGGTGATCTTCTAGAGAGAGTGGCCCTGCTCATTACTGCATCCTTAGGGATCAGTACATAGCTGGCTTATAGGCTGCTGTGGTTTGGATGTTGCCGCTAAAGCTCATTTTATATTTACTTGCCGCTGTGAAGATATTGGGAGGTGGAATCTTTAATAGGTGATTGGGTCATGAGGGTGCCACCATCACGTATAGGTCAAGTTCATTATTGAGTAAGTAAGTTAGTTATTTCCAGAATTCTACCCAATTTTCTCCCTTTGTCTCATTTGTTTTGTTTTGGTTTTGCCATGTTATAACGTCCAAATTATATGTGCCCTTTGGTTTTATAATTCTTACTTCCAAAACTATGAGAAATAAGTTTCTCCTCCTTCTTTATGTTTATGGGTCTGTGATGTTCTGTTTTGGCAGCAGAAGGATTAAGAATGGAGCCTACCAACTGAACTCATTTGTTTGAAAACGAATCCTTCTATAGAGAACAATCTAAGGGTTTTGTTTCCCATTTGCCCTCTTGCCCATGCATCTTCTCTTCCAAAGCATTCTTTTTGTGACATGATCCACCCCTTTCTTTCCAGTTGCTAGTGCTCAGTGGGAGAGGAAACCTTATGCCATATCAAGGTTTGCCATACACACAGGGAAGCCTGTCCCACCAGTGCAACCCATTGGCCCCAGTTTCTGTCTCAACTCCCTCTTAAGCTCTGAGTTCATCCTTACCAAGTAATCCGACGTTGGCATTGGAACAGCCTTCAGTTTTTCCATTCTTCTGATACTTTCACGCATTAATTGAGCACCATTCCGTTCTAGGTAAAGCTAGATACTGATCAGATATAGTTCCTTGGAGATTAAATAATCTGGTGAGATAGCAGATAATGGATGTGTAACACCTGAATTTTCCATGTCTTCTGTTTTTATCCAGAGATGTTTAGTTTTTCTTAGTTTAGGAAATCCCAAAAATTTATGTTCCCTTTCTTTTGCCTATATTTCCTCTTTGCTGCTAAGTGTGACCTGCACCTGTGGAGGTCATTTCTGATGCCCCCAACCTCCAGGCCTCTGTGCTAACTTGCTTTCCATGCCCTTTCCTAGCTGTGAGTGTTTCCTCCTTCTTAGAAATGCTGTGTTCCTTCATTAGCAATGGTTTTATGTCATAGCTTTGCTTGGATGATTTAAGAGATTTATTATGCCCTCAAAAAAATTGTGCCCATGCACTGGAGAGATGGCTGTGAGGGTAAGAGCACTTGGCGCTTGTGGTGGCTCATCTTGGTTGCTGACTTGACTGTGTATACACGTAGCTGAAACTCAAGCAGTTGGGCATACCTGAGAGAGATTTTTCTTAGTTGGATTATTTGGGGTGAGAGACCAATCCTCACTGGATCATTTGAAGTTGGAAGATGCACCTTAAATCTGGACCACATACTTTCTGGTGACAGCTCACATAAAAGGATATGGAAGAAGGAAGATTTTGCTTTCTGACTGTTTGCCCTCCCTCTCAATGGCAAGTTCATCTATCTTGAGCCCTTTCTTCACTGGAGTTAGAACCTACTTCTTCCAGATTCCAATGTGGACTGAAGACTGGCAGATCTCTAGGTCGTCCCTGGGACTCCAGCACCAGATTGGGACTGCTAAGACATCTAGTCTGGTAGACAGCAACAACCAGATCCTTGGCCTTTCTGTAAGGAGACAGCCATCGTTGGACTACTCATACCATAGCACGTAAGCCACTCTAATAAATCCCTTATATATATTTGTATATATAAACCTGAAAGCCACTCTAATAAGTCATATACATATATCCATATATTGGTTGTATTAGTTCTATTCCTTGGAGAGCCCTGACTAATACACTGCTCTTGCAGAGGACCTGGGTTCAGTTTTGTCTAAGTTACTCCCCCACCAGAAGAGAGCATGAATGCAGTCCCCCACTACCATAAATTGTGCAGCTGAGTTCCCCACATTTGGGGAAACTGTAGGGGTGAGCACATCCAGAGTGCAATAGATAAGCCTGGGAAAACCACCTTCATGATCATTGTATCTCCCCGGCCTGCTAAGTATTCTGTTACTTTTCTATTGCCATAACAAAGCACCATTACCAAGGAAACTTATAGAAGAAAGAGTTTACAGAGGCTTACAGCTCCAGAAGTTTAGAGTCCATGATCATCAGGACAGGAAGCATGGCAGTGGGCAGGCAGACAGGCATAGTACTGGAGCAGTAGCTAAGAGCTCACGTGTCATCTACAAACATGATAGGGTGGGGTGGATAACTGGGAATGGCATGAACTTTTGAAATCTCAAGACTCACTCCTAGGAACACATCTCTTCTATCAAGACCACACCTCTTAATCCTTACCAAATAATTCCACCAGCTGGGAACCAAGCATTCAAATATATGAGCCTGAGCCGGGCATTGGTGGCACACACCTTTAATCCCAGTGCTTGGGAAGAAGAGGCAGGTGGATCTCTGTGAGTTCGAGGCTAGCCTGGTCTACAGAGTGAGTACCAGGACAGGCTCCAAAGCAATACAGGGAAACCCTGTCTTGAAAAGAACACAAACAAAACAAAAAACAAAAACAAAACAAAACAAAACCCCCCCAAACAAAAAACAAATATTTGAGCCTTTGGGGGCCATTTTCATCCAAACCACCACATTCCACTCCCTGGCCCCCATAGGTTTGTAGCCATTTCATAATGCAAAACGCATTAAATCCAACTTCAAAAGTTCCCATTGTCTTTCACAGTCTCAACACAGTTTAAACGTTCAAAATCTCTTCTGAAGCACAACACAATCTCTTAATTGTAACCCTTGTAAAATAAAAAAGCAAATGACATACTTCAAACATACGAAGGCACAGATTATATATTACCATTCTAAAAGGGAGAAATCTGGGCATAGTGAGGAAATACTGCACCAAAACAAACTCTAAATCAGATATGGCTTCACATCCGATGCCAAAGGGCATCAACTTACAGCATTCAACTGCTTTCATAGTCCATAGTCTTAAGGTATTTTACATTCATCCAAAAACAAACAAACAAACAAAAAAAAACAGACCCCAAACAGTATATAGCCAGGCCTATCGCAGCAATAACCCATTCCATGGTACCAACTTCTGCCTTAGTTACTTTTTTACTTCTGTGACAAAGCACCATGACCAAGGCAACTTATAAAAAAAGAGTTTTTGGCAGATTTCAGTTTCAGAGGATTAGAGTCCATGACCATACCGATGGGGAGCATGGCAGCAGGCAGGCAGGTGCTGGAGCAGTTGTACCAAAAAATAAATGATGCAACTGGTAAATTTTCTTCTCATTCAAAAGTGGATATAATTGGCTGTGTGTCCCCAGTCTCACACTCCCAGCTCTTCATCCCACGGGCATTAATTTCAAGTTTCTGAAGCATTCTAGAAATATACTGTTATGGGGAATTCACTGGAGGTGCCCACTCAGACACAATGTATAACCAGTTGAGAGTCTTTATACCAGTTAGCTGGGTCTATACTCAAGTGTTCAGGGACCTAGGTGTGCCCTTGAGTGTCCAGAACACGGGATTTTTAAAGGCAGAAACCATGTCCTGGAATCTCACTTGGCAGCTGCAGAGGGGCTTGGCAGAAGCAAGCAGTTTAATAGAAGCTAAATAAATGGTCAGCTGGAGGGGATTCTGCACAAATAGACAATTTAATAGAAGCTAAGATAAGTTAGCTAGGACATGCTCACCTTGGGTTCCTAGAAGAGAGTTGGGTAATCTTTCATGGGATTCTACATCAAGGAGATCAAATTCTAGTTAAACCTGAAATGGCCTTAGTAAAAATAAAAGCTAGAACATTTGCATTGTCCTGCTCTGTCACATCCTACCAATTTAATACATAGAAGTCACCAAGATGCTTTCTGCATGGAACTGAGAAAGGGGTCAGGAAGATGAGTCAAAAACTATTTATCATAATATGTTATGAAAAAGGCACAATCAGCAAAGAAATGTGTTGAGGAAGAAGTAAGATGCTAAGTATTAGAGAAGAGGTTGGAGAATGAAAGGTAACTGAAAAAATAAAAATACCCATGGTGGAATGAGTTAGGGTGGGAGCAGAGCTTCCTCCATCCCCTACTTTATGAGTTTAATGTTGCTTGAGATAATCAAGCCATTTAAAGCAGTTTTCTCTACACAATGGTCAGGAACTTTGAGGAGAAAGGGATTGGAAAAGACTGTGAGAATCTTGTGGGAGTCAGATGTAGAAGAGACAAGTCTCATTCTATTCATCAACTACTTGAAAGGACTGTGTCACATGTTCCCTCAAGTCATAGAAAGGTTGAGAAATATAGTTTAGCTCTAAGTCCAGGAAGAAAGGATTGAGGGAACAACGGGCCAACAGAAAAAGAAAATTTTGTGTGCTGACCAGCTATCATGGACAGTGGATGCTAGTCTCTGTAGATGATATGCTTCAGGTGAGAGCATTCAGGAAATTCTGAGCTGCATGTCTCCTTTGGGAGAATCAGAGTGTGACAGTAGTGATTCTGGTAAAGCCTGCAGCTAAGGGACAAAGCATTTCCTACCTGTTTCTGACTTTGAGAAGGTGGGCTTGGGTGTGATGCAGATGATGACCCTGTGGATCACACCAGTCAAACAGCTATCAGGCCTGAGAGTCCTTCAGGCTCAGGCAAAAAATACGTTAGGACAGGAGCTTAAAATTATTTTAAAAAAAGAAGAAAAGAAAAGCAAGTTGTTGGAAATGGAGAGAGTCCCAGCATCGGAAGGAAAAGGAGATGAAAAGCCAAGGCTGCAGAAGTCAGGAAGCACAGCAACCAGCTCAGAAGACAGACATCTTTACTGGGACGTGCAGAGGAATGGGCCCCATACTGTAAGGGAGTGTAAGAGTGAAGAGATATGGGGGTTTGTGGTGACCCCCTTGGCTCACTGGGCAGGGCTACTGAAAAGACAATGTATGGAACAATGCTGTGTGGGATCTCTCCAAGTACTGAATGTCTAAACCCCTGTGAAGAATAGAAAATGAATGGAATTCTCCCAAATATGTTTCACAAATTAGCACACAATTAGATTTGTAAATGAGTAAATCCCTAGCTCCCAAACCTGATCAAAACAGCGGTAACAGAAAAGACAAGCCCATCTTGCTCACTGATTGAACTGCAGTGGCATCCCACTCTCTCACTCTGTGCTCCCCCCCCCACTCTGATTAAGCCTCCCAGCAGGTGGCAGTGCCTATGATTAGAGGGTTCTGTGAAGCTTGAAGTTTGCAGAATGCCTTTTGCTCATTCTCTCCACAATTCTCACACCAGCCCAGAGGCTGCTGTGTCCCAGGACCATTCAGCATTCTGGGAGCTCGTCATGGAAACCCCATCCTCCACCTCATATCTCTGTACTACCTCTTCATACGCCTCTACTTAGCATTTTTCCTGTCTGTCCTTACACACTAATCTCAGTATTTCCCCTAATTGTTTTGTTACAATAGCATTGAAAGAATGTAGGAAGGAAGGGACAAAGGAAAGAACTTTGAGACATTCTTTCCCTATTTAAGGGTTGAATTGACCTCTTGAATGTATGTGCTGGAATCATAACTTCTGTGCCTTACTTAGAATGTGGTCTTATTGAGACAGGATGCACAGGGGTGATCAAGTGATCACAGAGTCATCTGAGTAGGTTCTGTTTATATGGCTAATGAATGCCTGCATAGAAAAGGGAAGTTAAACCAGGCAGTGTTGGCTGGCCTTTAATCCTAGCACTCGGGAGGCAGAGGCAGGTGGATCTCTGTGAGTTCTAGACCAGCCTGGTCTACAACAGTTAGTTCCAGGACAGTCTCCAAAGCCACCGAGAAACCCTGTCTCTGGGGGGAAAAGAGAAAAGAAAAGAAAGAAAGAGAGAAAGAGAGAAAGAAAGAAGGAAAGGGGAAGTTAGAGAAATGCACACTCATGGACTGCCACATGAACATGAAGATGGCTGTCTACACACCAAGGAGATTTTGATTTTGAACCTATAACCTTCAGAACTGCGAAACAACAGCTCCTATTGTTTAAGTCCCCAACATCTGAGCAGCAGCTTTAGGTAAACAATGAACTATCAATTTTCTTTGAGAGATGTGATGCAGGCTGCTGCCAAAACACCCTCAGGTGTATTATCTTAACTACAGAGTGTTTTCAACAGCAGAGTAAAAACTGCCAAAGTCAAGTTCATTCTACCTATAATAATTCCTTTATATTAAAAAAGATAGCGAGGTTAGCCTGATCTGACCTGTCTATATTTGTGTGCGCATGCTCACAAGAGAGAAAGAGAGAGTGTGAGTGTGTGTGTGTGTGTGTGCCTATTGGCCTATAGAGATCCTAACCATCTTTTCTATGTGTTTGCAAACCATTTATTTGAACATATCATCCAGAATTTTCAGGTTCACTGATCTATCTATAGCAATCCTTACTCACCTTTTATAAAATGTAATCTTTGGTCATTGGGAGCCTATGGAGTACTCTCCTATTGGTGCTTTTTGTTTGTTTGTTTTTTGTTTATTTCTTCTCCTGGTTTTTTTGTTTGTGTTTTTTGTTTTTTTGTTTTCCAGACAGAGTTTCTCTGTGTAGCACTGGCTGTCCTGGAACTTGTTCTATAGACCAGTCTGGCCTCAAACTCACAGAGATCTGTCTGCCTTTATCTCCACAGTACTGGAATTAAAGGCATGAAACACCACCACCTGGCTATGGGAACATATTTTTTAATTTCTTCATTTTGAAAGAATTTAAAGAATTCAAATAATGTTACAATGACTTCTCACTACTGTTAACATTTGTTGTATTTACTTGTGCCACTGTGCTATGTAATACTAGTTTTCTAATATTTGAGAGTTGCTGTAGTTTAAACATGGTATTCCCCCACAAAAACTCATGTTGAGATGTACTTAAATCCAGCAGTGTTGGGAGGTGGGGCCTAGTTGGGATAGCTTTGAGTCATGGGGATAGAGTCCTTGAGAACAGACTAATGCTTTCTCAGGAGAGGTCTTCTCTTTAGGGTGGATCAGCTGCTTCTAAGGCTGCTTGTTCCAGAGCCAGGACACATGTTGCCCATTTGC